TCTAGTGTGAGAAACTGAAAGTGTAAATAAGGACTAAATGGTATAATAGATAATGTGAAATAGGAAGAAAAGGGGCAAAGGGGAAGGGGAAGTGGGAGAGGTAGGAGAAAGGAAAGAAGGGAATGGAACTAATATGAGAAAAGGGAAACAAAGTCTTTGCAAATAGGGAGGGATGGAGGGGTTGAAGGGAGGGCAGGGGAAGGGGGAAAAATAAGAACAAAGAGAGATTATGTGAAGGTGCAAATTTCCAATGATGAATGTCATTCTATTGTATACCTAAATTGAACCAATAAAATAAATTTTTTAAAAAAAGAAACCCATATTTGAGGAGTGCTGTATAAAATGTGAATTTTGTATTTGAGTTAAAGAATTATCCTGACTTCTGGAAAAAGTGACAGGGATAGACTACCAATGATGAAGAAGGATCCAACACTTGTTTGCCTTTATTTACAATTCTTGGTAAATTGTTCTTTTGGATGACTCCTCCTTAGTGGATCAGTGCTGCTGGGGTGTACATCTCAAACACGGAGCTCTGTCTTACACATTTTGGAAGGGTACAAGGAAGCCCTCAGGCACTGTCAACTGTCATTTTGGGTTGGGAGGGCAAGCTGTCTTCTCCACCTGGGATGATGACTGATCACAGGTTTTCAAAACTGTTGGATAACATTGCCAGGTGTGACCATAGTTTCACATGGACTTTAGCCCTGATTTTTTTTTTAAAAGGAATAATGTGTAGATGGACATGAGAGAAACTGGCCTCATACCTGATTGGGTGTGTGATCATCATTTTATCTGTCCATACACAACGGGGTCTGTGTGTGCAGAATGGTTTGCAGTCAAGTGATTGCTCTTTTCTTCTGAGGGTTCAAAAGTCATGCTGGCATAGATAAGTGACTCCTTCAATACGGGTGAATGCTTCCAAGGGAGAGAAAGGAGGAATGAATGAATTCAATTTGGAGAAAAAATGTTTCTAGAAGCAACTTGAAAGCTTTGGTACGAGGAGACTGACCCAAAGAGACCAGGAGAAATCTTAAAAAAAAAAAAAATGCTTGCCCAGAGTGCAGAAAGCAATATTATTATTCCAGTCAGTAATGCAGAATAAAGAAGGAAATGCCCATGGTAGTGGCCCTCTAGTACTTGGAAACAATATGATGATCTTACCCTGGCAGGAGGATCTGAGTGAGGATCCAGGGCCTGGGGACTGGAATGACCTGAAACAAGTGCCAGAGAGAAGAGTAATAACTCTCACCAATGGGTCCTAAGAGAGAAGGGCCCCTTGGGTTGGGCTTGGGGGTGGTGGGATGGGGATGGGGGCCAGGGAGTAAAGGAAGGGAAGGGATTTGGATTCCAGTCTACACAGCATGTGGGCCAAGAAGGCTTCTCCTCCTTTCCTCCTGTTACTCCCTCCTGGTTATCTCTGACCTCAATGGCAGAGAGGGAAGGCTGTCCCATTCATCAGAAACCACTTACATTTTCTGCAGCACTTTATGATGAAGAAGACAAGGGCTGTCAGCAGCAATGTCAGTAAAACCCCAGCAAAAAAAGCCAAGATCAAGTGTCCCTTGCTGGTTGGGCAGAGAGAGGGAGCAGATGAGCTGCTGGGACTTTTGAAGACCTTTCCTAGAAGCCAAATGTAGCATAGCATTTCCTATCTGTGGCTAAGCCATTGAGATAGTGCTCACATTGGTTAGTGGACTTTCATTCCCACGAATTGGTTGCCAACTGTTTGCTTTTGAGTTCTAGATCCATTTGAACCCTCAGTGGAAGCTGTGGACTCTCTGCCATCCCCAACATACATTTTACAAGCTTAGGGGATTCATAGATGTCCTGAAGCTTGGGAATGAGAACTACCCTCCGAGGGGCAAACACTGGTTTAGTTTTTCTACTCTTTCTGGGCCCTTCTCGGCAGAATTCCCTCCCCAAGTTCCAAAGTCAAAGCTGTCAACACGAAATCTAATGCCATGTGGCCCAGGATGAGAGACAGTAAATCCTCATTTACTTGGGGTAACTTGTGGTCACTGGGGCTGCTGTGGAGGCATCTGCAAAAGAACATGGAAGAGATCAGTGAATCTGCCACTTCTCCTGCTACCCTTCCAGCAAAGGGTCCTAGGCGCCTCCCCCACCCAAGTAACCAATGAAGATCAGTGACAGGGCTGCAACTCTACCTGGTGAGACAACAGGGGTCCTTTAAAATGAGGATTCCTACTGAATCTTTTTGTTTTTTGAGACAGGGTTCTGCTATGTAGTTCAAGCTGGCTTTGAATTCACTGTGTAGCTCAGGCTGGCCTTAAACTCACAGCAGTCCTCCTGCCTCAGCCTCCCAAGTGCTGGGATTACAGGCATGTGCCACCATGCCCGGCTTGTACTGAATCTTAATCAGATACACAATCAAATACCCAGTGTTCCACAGACTGGTGTATCTCATAGATAAAGAAAACATCTCCTGTGTCTCCTTCTGAAAAACTCTAGCATGAAGCTCTGAGAGATGTGCTCCTTCTGACCCATGGGAACTCTCCAGGCCAGGAAGTCAGAACCCACAGTGAGACCAGCACTTTGACTTTGAAAATCACCTCTTCTTTTTGCTTGTTTTGTCTGCAGAGTGACTACTAACAGTGACTGACAAAAAGCAGCCATGGTGCTTCTCCTAATGCCTATACTGCCTGAAGGGGAGCAAGAAGAGAAGCAAAACGGTTTCTCCTAAACACCTCAGCTGGTCTACTCAAATTCGGAGAGCCAGGCAGTTCTTTTCCAGTTCCTCTTTTCATTACTTGTGGCATTAGACTCTGTATTATGGCAAAATCCAATTCTTTCAACTTCAGAAATGCCCTTGGCTGGTACCATCCCCATTATAGCCCTTCAGCCCAGTTTATTTTTCTTGCAGCTTATTTTAACTTAGCAGGAAGGCAGGTATGTTCTGAACTCACCAATTTTGGGTTTATGTGTGGAGGAAACGTCTCCCATGCTGTCTTCTCCTAAGAATAAAAAAAGGTTCCTCTTAAAAAACTCAGAAAGGGAGAGGCAGTTGAGGGGTCAACTCTAAGACTGGTAGTCATATAAGAGCAGTAACAATATATGCAAGAATATCAAAAGTATAATTTTACTTGGTAAACACTGAACTGAAGTAAATATGAGAGAAGATGAATGGATAATTATAATATTGAGTGTCATCCAAGTCTGATGCATCCACCTTACCTTTCCCTGGCAGTGTTGGGTAAACATTGACAAGCTTGATCTTGGAGGTCTTTTCTTTAGTCTCCATCAGACACTCTGTTCACATATCATCTTTTCAAGTATGCCAACATCCTGGTCTAAATTGTGGTTCTATTTGTTATATTAAAGCTCTATATTGGTCCTATTTTATTTTTTTAATTTAAATTATTTTTAATTTTAATTTATTTAATAAGATAGAAAAGTAAAATCATCTCCTACTACTTATGGTTAATATTTTAGTATCTTTCCTTTTAGTCATACTGCATGCATTTTATTAAAGCTCCTTGAGTTACCTTTTCTTTTCTTTTTTTTTTTTGTACTGGGGATCGAACTCGGGTCCTTGCGCTTGGGAGGCAGGCGGAGAAACCGCTGAGCTAAATCTCTGGCCCTTGAGTTACCTTTTCATATAAAGGGTTATGTCTTCTTTTTTTACTTTGTACGTTGCCATATGTATTCTCCCATGCCTTTAAAAACTTAATGTAATCTTTTTAGGAAAATAGGCCTTTCTGTAAGAATAGTCCCTCCACAGCTGCAGGGGATATGTTCCAAGGTGTTCTGCAGATGCCTGAGACGATGGATACCCCCTGCAGCATACAAGTTTTTCCTACACATACATGTCTACAATAAAATTCAACTATAAATTAAGCACAGTAAGAGATTAACAACAACTGACAATGAACTAGAACAATTATATCAATTTGCTGTAATAAAACTTATATTAAATATGGTTATTTATGGCTTGAATATTCCATTTAATATTTTCAGATCATAGTTGACCATAAGTAACTGAAACTGGGAAGAGAAATCATAGATTAGGCAGGATGACTGTATATATGAGCACTCTAACTTGCTTAACCAGTTCCCTGCTTTTGGATATAAAATTTTTCTACTTTTCAGTAGGTAACAATGAAACAGATTTTTTGGTGCATAAAACTCTGCACATATCCTTGATTATTTTTTAGGTGGCCACAGTTTTACTTAATATTTAGGTAAACCCATGATAAACTTCTTTTTTTTTTTTTTTTGGTTTTTTGAGACAGGGTCTTACAGTATAGTTCAGGCTGGCCTTGAACTCACTATGTAGGCCAGGCTGGCCTCAAACACATGACAATCTTCCTACCACCATAGCCGGCCTCCCTAGTGCTGGGATTACAGGCATGTGCCACCACACCTGGATGTCTGTGATAAACATTTTTGACTCAGTATTTCTGTTGGATTTTGATGTAATTTATTTAGACAACAACTACCATCAGCTGTGTTTTAATTGTCCAGCTCACAAAAGTTATTTTCAAGTCTTTGAACAGAGTAGAGGGCTAGGAGAAGGATACTTCACTGCCATGTACCATTTATGACAGTTGTAACAGTGACATTACCAAGTATCTTACAATTTACCAAGCATCTTAGATCTTGCGATATATAAGAAAGGTGACAACAGAAAAATTTGGTGAAAAGTCTGAGCCATGAGTCATGAGTTGCAGAGAACATTCATAAAGTATTGGTATAATATATGTAGAATATATTATATGTTATATATTTATATATTATATAGAATATAAGAATTTTTAAATATAGAGATCCACATTTCTATTGAGAGTATAAACTCACACTAGACTTTAACATTGGGGAGGTGGAAAAGGAGAGGTAGGATTTTGTAAAATCCTTACCTTCACCTCTGTGGTTCTGAATGTACAACCACCCCAAAGAAATACTGTCACCTAAAAATATTAGGCTATCCCACCCTGAAGGACAAAGCAATCACACAATACCACAGGGAAATAGCTACTTACAAATCCAGGTCAAGAAAACAGGAAGCATACAGTATTTTTCTGTGAAAACAACAATCCAAATATTTGACAGAGCGAAAAATTAGAAAAGAAACAGTGCTATATATACTGTTTTGTCCAGCTCTGGAGAACATAATTCATTACCATAAAATCAACTAAATGCAGTCATTCAAACAATCCTTTCCTTTCCCCCACCAAACAAAAAGAAGAAAATGATAGAAAACACTAACAATTAAGTGATTTTTGTCTTTTAGTGGGTGATTACATCAAGATTAAAAGTATGGGGCTGGGGATTTAGCTCAATGGATCTGGCGCCTGCCTCACAAGCTCAAGGTCCTGAGTTCGATCCCCGGTATGGAAAAAAAAAAAAGATTAAAAGTATGTGTAAATGTATTTACCTTTCAAGAGTATCTCCGGTCATAAGCTGTAGTTGTCTAAGACTGAATTGTTCACTTCCGTTACCAGTCTTGTTTTCTAGAAATGATGAAATAAAGGTTACTAGCACAGTCACTGCCACCATCAAGCCATGTGTTGCAAAGATGCTGTTTAAACTCGCGGGTGGACTTCCTCTTTGAGGTCAACCTTATATTTAAAAAAAAAAATCCTACAAGGAATGAGAACTTTTGTATCTTTGACATATGAACACCAGTTAAAGGGGACAGGACAAGTTTGTTTCTAATTCAGTGTTTATTATTTTCTTTAACCACCTTGCCAGATGTCGTGAAGGTCACAACAGTGGTCACAACAGTATGACATTACCAGTGTCACCAAGGAGACTGAGAGAGGGCCGGGGATTTAGCTCAGTGGCACCAAGCCTCACAAGTGCAAGGTCTTGAGTTCGATCCCTGGTACCACAACAACAACAAAAAAAGCAAAAAAGAAAAAAGAAAAAAAGGAGACTGAGAGAGGCTGATAAAGAAAAGTGAAGAGCAGTAGTGTTGCCGGTTACTTATAATAGCAGTGCAGACACTAAGTGTGTTTAGTGTTGAGATTCCTTCACAAGGATGGTGACTCATTTTATTTTATTTTATTTTTTTGGTACCAGGGATCGAACTCGGGTCCTTGCACTTGTGAGGCAGGTGGCAGAACCACTGGGCTAAATCTCCGGCCCTCACTTATTTTAAAACGTATAAAACCTAAAGACATAAATATACTCATTGGATGGATGCTATATGCCATACAGTGAGCTAGGTACTGAGTGTATTTCAGGGACCAGGGCAGAAGTGTTCTTAGCCTCACAGAGCCTACCGTCTAATTGAGAAGAGGAAAGAAAAACAAGTAAACAACAGATTAGTGACCCTTGTGCTGTGATCCATGAAGACCCTGTGCCAGAAAGGAAAAGAATAAGACCAAAGACAAACAAACAATCCCCCCAACATAGTGTGACAAGCAAGGAAGCATGTGAGGAAACCCTGGGATCAGGGTGGGGAGATGCGGAACATAGTTAAAATGAGGCTGAAAAGGGAGGAGCAGGGCGGTCCCTCAGAACTTCTGTCATTATAAGAGAAGTGGTTTCCTTGTACTGAAGATATTTAAACAAGTGTGTCATAATCGGATTTGGATTCTGGAAAAATCATGAAAAACGGGGTAGTGAGAACAGATTGCATGGCAGCCAGGAGAGATATCAGTAGACCAGTTGAGTGACCACTACTATGATCCAGTTGAGGAGTAATATTAACATGAACTAGGATGGTAGTTGTAGACAGATGTGCATGAATTTGAGAGATTTTTAGGAAAGTGGTATTAAAAATAGGGAAGATAAAAAGTCAAAGATTTTTATCAAAAAATCGGCAAAGGACAAAAAGAAGAAAGAGGAGCCAGAGAAGGAAACAATGGTAGTCCAAGATTTAGGGTGAGCTGGGTGTGATGGCACACAGCTGTAATCTGAGCATTCAGGAGCCTGAGTCAGGAGGATTTCTGTGAATTTGAAGCCATCTTGGGCGACATAGTGAGTTCAAAACCAGCCTGAACTGTATAGTAAGGCCCTGTCTCAAAAAATCAAAAAAGAAAAAAAACTTAAGGAGTTAATCAGACATTTATTGAGCACCTACTATGAGCAAGACTGGAGAAATAATGGTAAAACATAAGCCTTGACTTAAGGGATTTTATAATCTTATAGAGACAGATAACTCCATTCATCTATAAAACCATGTTCCAGACTATATACATATATAAGCATAAGGAAATGATATAGATCCTATGTTAGAATCTGTATTGGAGGAGTGGGACCCAAAGAAGAAAGGGGTCAGCCTTCACAATGAGGAAGGAGGCTGAGTATCAAGAAAAACTTCTTTGAGGAGAGAGTGTTTGAGTTGTGTCTTGAAAGATAAATCACATTTTTCTAAGGCAGACAAAAGGAAACATGCTCCACACAGAAGGGCAGCATGGGCAAATGCTTGCTTTGTCCTGCGGGTCATGTTTAGGGAAATTCAAGTATTTACCTACACAGTAGGTAGAACTACGGAGAATGAGGGTGGGGCGCAGGTGGAGACTGGAAGAGGGATGGGTGGAGAGGAAGTATGGAACGAGATGAAGATGTTGTATCTGGGGGATGAGCACCACTGCTCTGTTGTCCAAGCAGCCCACCGGGATCATAACTCAGCCCCCATAATTAATTAGAGGGACAAAGTTTAACAAAACAAAGGCCCTTTATTTGCAAAGACGGAAAGAAAGGGTGAGAAAGAAGATAGATAGCTACCCTGAGAAGAAAGAATCAGGGTAGGGGGCTCCAGAAAGAAGGAGGACTCATGAGCCCTCTGTTCTCAGCTGCTTTTAGAGGGAGGGGTAACTCTTTCCCCTCCACCCAGAACTTGCCATAACTGGATTGGTTTCTGGGCAACTCTGCCTAATGTCATTTTTTCCAGTGGTCTCTGTGTAGCTTTTTTTCTGTCTGTTTGTTTAGTTGTCTTTGACCTATCTTTTAAGGCCTTATCTTTGGAGTGGGTGGCTAGTTAACAAGCGAATGCCTTATTCTTAGTTAGCTTAGAGTTAGTAAGGGGCTGTGTGGATATCTATTATACTCCATAATGACCCTAGAATGAATAATATAGTGACTCTAGAGTGAATATACATGTATATATGTGTGTATATTAGTGCATAGGTGTGAGTACACACTGCCTTAAAGTTAGTCAGTCCTCCCTTTGTTTCCATATATTTTATTGGAGGTTGGGGTGATTGTCATTTGTGGACTTGGCTTTTTCTCTGTGTCCTACCTGTCAGCTCTTTTTTCTGGTCTCTTGGAGCAAGTCCCAAGACCATCTGGTGCCTTTCTTTATCTGGTTTCTCTCTCCCTCTCTCTCTCTCTCTCTCTCTCTCTCTCTTAATCCCTGTCTTTGACTTACTTCCCAGGGGGAAATTCTCTAGTAAAGTTTGTTTTAACCCCTTCTAGTCAGGATTAGCTAGAAGACCTAAGGAGACTTCTATTTTATTTTTTCATCTACAGACCCCTATCCCTATAAATAGTGGACCCTAAACCCACTTTACATTATAAGCAATGGAAAGACTGCTGAGAGCAGTAACCAAATCACATTTGGATTTAAAAACAGGGCACAGGGGGACTAGTAAGGTGACAGACAATGGAGTATTGCAGATTTCCAGGTAAGAAACAAGGATGATCCAGACTGAGGCCATAGCCATAGGAAAGAAGTAGGGCAGACAGATGATGAATCCAGTCATTTATCAGATATGAGAGGTACCCAACTGAAAGGAAGGCAAGGGAGAGAGACGAGCTTTGAATAACTACCAATTTTACTATATTGTATCCATTGACTAATATTGAGGATATAGAATAAGGGTGTAGAATTGGATATAAATAATGAGTAATTTTGGACATGTTGAATTTGAGGTGTATGTGGAACATTCAGGCACAGATGTGGAGGGCAGTTAGATGCAAGACCTGAAATTCATGAAAGAGATCTAGATTTGTGTGGCATACAGAACTCTCACCCATAACCCCTCCTTTTCTCCTTTTGGGACTGAGCATCCTTGTGGTTGGGTAATGCCACGTGACAAATTCTTGACGATGGTCAGTGAGCAAAAGCTATGTATGTCCCTTTCAGTTGAAACATTTAATTGCTGATACAAGACCTCCTCTGATCTCTCCTTTCACAGGACAATTGTGGAGAATTTGTGATAAGCTCTAAAATTGAGTCACTGAGTCACTGAGTCACTGAGTCACCATACTGAGGACAATTTCTCCGGAGAGTCACTTAGACTTGCAGAAGACTCTTTACAACCAGGAATTTAGCTCAGTGGTTCTGCTGCCTGCCTCACAAGTCCAAGGTCCCGAGTTTGATCCCTGGTACCAAAACAAAACAAAACAAAACAAAAAACAAGACTATGAGCAAACAAAGCATTGCACACACACACACACACAACACACAAACACACATAAACATTTCCACATTAAACTACTGAGATTTGAAAATAGTTTCTTATCTCATTCAATCTACCCTATTCTTCCCTATTCAGGATACAGATTAGGAAGTCATCAGTGTACACATAATAGGAAAAGGCCTGGACACGGATAGGATCATCATATGGAATGAGAATAAAATTCCTAGGATAGAACTCTAGTATCAATACTTAAGAAAGAGGCAGGGAAAGTGAGGTCAGCTAAGGAAACTAAGAATAAACAGTGACAGCAGAAAGCATGAACATATTCCATTAGCAGCCAGGAGAGGAAAGGAAGCTGTGGCCAAAAGTGCCAAATGCTTACAGAAAGAGCAGCCCGGATTTGGATTTGGAGTTAAGATATAATCCTTTTTGCTAAAGCTTCTTGTTGTGTGGTAGTGGTAGGAACCTCAGGGTCTTTTCATAAGCTGTTCTTTTTGTTTGAAGATCACCTATCTTTCAGATACCAATTTAAATATAATTTGTTCTAGAAGGCTTTTCATTAGCTCCTGTACTAGACTGAGTTCACTTCTCACATGTGCCAATTACTCCACACTCTTAACATTAGGAATTTATATTCAATGTCATAATTGCTGGAATTTATATTCAATGTCATGATTGATTTATATTCAAGGTCGTGTCATGTAAGCTCTGTGGACACCATATTCTTTTACCCTAGTTTCTGGCAATGCTTGACCCATAGTGTACCTTTTCTAAATGACTGTTCAATGAGCTTCCTGTTCCGCCATTGAAAAGCTTCCTTTACAAGAGATTAACCCACTATTTTCCCTCAATACCATTCAAAAAAACCACTTGAAGAAGGGCAAAGAGCTCTAAGCTATTAATATGAATTAGCACTTTCAATCCTTCTCTTAAATCTCCCTGAGAAATTGAATACTGTTGATTCTTCCTCCATGAAGTTCTTCACTTCCAGAATTGTGGTTTTATTCTCCTGGTTTTCCAATGACTGACCATTCCCTCTTTTGCAGAATTTTTTTACTCTGCCACTTCTCAAACACTGATGTTCTTTCATGGTTCTATATTTAGCTTTATTCTTTTTTCCAAAACATAATTCCTTTTGTAGTCCAAATCATAGTGAATAGTACCTCCCTTTTCTGCTCTCTCAAGAAAGAAACCTGACTCAACTTTATGCTTCACCTCTTTCATATTGTCTCCTGGCACCTCTTCTACTAATGTTGCCTTTAGTGTTTCTCATCAATTCCTTCCTTTCCATTTATACTCCCAAGGTCTTTGGTTAAGGTCTTCAATATCACTTAGCTAGGATGACAGTACAGCGTTAACTAAGTCTTGCTGCTTTCCAAACTGTCCTCTGTATTCACTAGTGATTTTTAAAAACAAAAATCTAGTCATTGTAATCCAGCATGGATGATGCATCTAAAAGTGTATTTTGATTTAGTATAATTGTCTCATGTGTTTTATGGGGTTTCTTTGCCTCTTAGTCTGGCCATTAATCTATATGAATTATAATTAACTTTATAGGGACTTATAAATAAATGAATCTGATGTGGCAAAAAGAGAGAGGGGGTCAGGGATTTAACTCAGTGGTTTCGCCGCCTGCTTCACAAGCGCAAGGACCCGAGTTCGATCCCCGGTACCAAAAAAACCTCCAAAAAACAAAAAAACAAAAAGAGAGGACGTGGAGAGGAAGGGGGAAAAAAGGAAAATAATCTAGTCATCATTCCCCCTCTGCTCAAAGTCATTTGGTGATTGCCCTCTATTCTTAGAACAAAATCCAACTTCTAAGTATGGGATTTAAGTATAACTCCTTACTATTTATTTCATTCTTAACTTCTTGAGAGTTTTAAAAAAAACCCCTACAATCTCTCATGTCTCTATAATCACAAAGGCCACCCTATCTTCTTGAACTCTTACTCCACCCCCAAGACACTGCTAACTTCCTCCTCCAAATGTCAGCTCAGGTACATTTCCTTTCTGAGCATCTCCTGTCTACCCGCTCCATGTTTTAATTGGATATTTTCATTGACTTCCTAATGTTAGGCGAAAGTTACACATTAGTAGGCCTAAAAACAGGCAGCTGGGGACTAGATGAAAAGCAAAGAAGACACGTGTGTGGGTTTTTTTTTTTCCTTCATTTTCTTAATCATTAGCTATAAATAAGACCCAAACAAGCTTATGGTTTCAAACATTGGCCAAGAGTATGTGACCTCCTCAGAGGATGCTGGTATGGTTCACGGCTATACAAAGTCCTAAGGTTGAAGGGTTAGAAAAACCTCAAGGTCTCAAGACAAACTAAATGAAAACATCCCACCTAAAGAATAGAAACGTCTCCCAGTGGGTAGACAAAACAACCCATTTTCCTTGTAAAAGAACAATGACTTTAAAGGAAGGAAATGATATTTCTTGAAATATCCATTTAATCATATACATGTAACCTGAGACCTCATTTGGCACAACTGCTTTCTTGGTGCTTGCCCACCTTCATGCTTGAAAGTGTATCCTATTACTCTGAAAAAGCAATTATTTTGCAATAAACTCTGTATTCTGTATGACTACGTATGTATCTTGTCTGAAATCTCTCATTAAAGAAACAAAGAACTGAGCAGGAAGTGTCGCTGGTCCTTTGCAGTATCAGGACTCAGGTTCCTGGTGATATCGGGACTGGAATTCTAAAATATTATTCATTCAGGATAACATTTATAGAGGTAGGAGAGTTATTGTGATGGTTTGTTATAGGTCAAGTTGTTTATATTGAACTACATTTTTAAAAACTCACTTTCCTGAATGTTATTAGGGTGAACCACAAGATTCCTGAGCTGAGATCTGGAGAGTAAATGTGAAACAGTAGCTCTTCTGTAGCTGAGATGCTGTTGTCCCTTGGCTTGTAAGTTCCAGCTGGGCAACTTCCTGATCTTCCCCACTCATGCTTCAACCTCTAACTCTGGACCAGGTGTTTGTGAAGGACTCAGGGTTGTACAGAACAATCACACCATCAAGTTCAGAGATAGTAAAAGAAACCAAAATGAGTTTCATCTGTGCTGTTATCCCCACTTGCTCCTACTGTCTCCCACTTTACATCCATCTTCCCTTATTGCTGTTCTGGTGGACTTCAAACTTCAGCATTAGAAAGATAAACAGCATTGAGAGACTACTTAGTAGTTCCTACAATAAAGTTCCTACACATAATTGTGATCATGTGTACTAGTAGTTCTGCTTCTCTGCACCCTGGCTTGACAGTTATATACAAGGGAAACGATGAGGCTGTTGAGATTACCTAAAATGTTTGCTTACCATAGCCTTAAAGCACTCTTTAGTAAAATCTATACTGGATCACATATTGTTATGTATTCTTAGATTTTTAACTCTTTGAGGAAGGGATTTTTGTTATCTCTGTATGATCAGGATACAGTATGATGCTGAGCACAAACTAGGTGCTTCATAATTATCTGTTAAACAAATAATTTGGAACATCTCTTCTGTCCCAATCAAAATCTCTTAAGTAACAAAGACATCAAACTGATTTTCATGTAAGCCATGTGGGTTTCACGTAAGCCATCAATATTGACCCAAATGATTCTTACATACATTAAAATCTTAAAAAGCCAATGAAAAAAAAAGCCAATGAAAATAGCAATTGTCCACATAATGCATATTTTCAAATATTTTCCATTAAGTAAGGAGCCATTAAAGTACAAGTAAATCCTTCTTAAGTATGAGAGAATTCAATGTAGGTAAGTCTATGTAGGGAATTCCTGACTTACTTGCTGGATTCTTTTTACAATTTTTATTGTGGTAAAATACACCTAACATTTAACATTTTAAATTGTTCATTTCAGTGGTTCTTGAATACATTCATAACACGTAACCATCACTATAACTGATCTTGTAAAACTGAAACTCTAGACCCATTTAAACAGCAACTCCCTATTCCCTGGTGACTACCATATCATTTTCTGATTTTTACTGTAAGTACTTCATACAGTATTTATCTTTTTTGTAATGTTTACTCTGCAGAATGTCAAGGTTCATTGATGTGTTGTCAAAACTTCATTTAGAAGGCCAAATACCCCATTGTATGGTTAATACTTTTTGCTTATTCAATATTGCTTGGACCCTTGGGCTGTTCCCATGTTTTGAAGTAAAACATGCTTGTAATACAAAGCACTTGTATATCAAAGCAAATTTCCCCATAAAAAATAATGGATTTGTTCCACAACCCAAAAATATTCATATAAAAATTACAAAAATAAAAACTGATTACAAAATAATAAAGAAAATACTGTAATACAAAATAAATTAACCCAGACATGTTTGAAAACCTTTGTGGCTGGTGTGAGGGAGAAGAGAGGAGGGTTATTGTGTAGGGTAATTTTCACTATCACTAATGGAATCACTGCCATCTATTGGTTCAATGGAATCTTCTTTTTGTGCAACTTTAACAAGGAACCTATCCGATGACTCTTGATTTTGCCTCCTTTTGAGGATTTTGTGGAAATGTGACATTGCATTGTCCTTAAATAGATTCATTGCTCACACTGCTATCTTTACTTGGTGGTACTTTTCTACAAAATTTTGCAGTTTCCCACATTTTACACACCTCCCCAATCTCATTTGAAGTGAGATTCCTTGGCCTTTTTCTTCTCCTCCTGCACAGACGAGATCTCCATAACCTCTTGCTATTAGGAAACAATCACCCACAAATTCCACAGCGAGAAGACCACTGGCTTAGTTGTGATCATGTGATGTTTGGTGCCATGTCCTACTTGTGTTACATCACTTGATTATCAAGTTAAAATGTATTAGAAATGTTTGCTCATCTTGTAGAACACTCATGAAACGTTACTTGCAATCCAAGGTTTAACTGTAGTGTGACTAATGCTGCTATGAACATGGTGTATAAGAATCTCTTCACAACTTTCAATTTTTTTTGAGACAGATTCTTGCTGTGTTGTCCAGGTTGGCCTCAAACTGGGCTCAAGGAATCTTCCAGTCTCTGCCTTCCAAGATCTAGAACTGAAGTTGTATACTACCACATCTGGATTTGCTTTCAATTCTTTTGAGTATATACCCAGAAATGAAGTTGCTGGATTATACTGTTAATTGTGTTTATCTTTTTGAGGAATGGTCATACTTTTACATTGACTTTATTACTTTATATTTCCAAATAGTACACAGGGATTTCAATTCTTCCATATCCTAACACATTTTTTTGGTTTTGTCTGAAATAAACCCCAAAAGTGTAACTGTGGGGTTTCCCCCAATTTATTTTTATGGTGCTGGACTAAATCCAGGGCCTCTTGTAAGTGCTCTTCCACTAAGCTACATATTCAGCCCTTTTCTGTGTTTTCAGTCGTTATAAATTGGATTCTCAAGTGATTTTTATATCATACTGAGTCTAATATTTTCTACAGGCATACTACTAAAATTATAAGTCAATGATGATTTGATATACAATATTTCCTCTGGTTATTTTAAACCATGGGTACTCAAAAGCTTTGAATTTTCCATAACCTATCAGTTAGGTAGAAATAGCTCACCACAAAATGGTCTCATAAACATAAGAACTCAATGACATGACATTTTTTAGTTTTACTCAGGAGAAATGTTGAAATGTTATTTCAGAGAATTATGGAACTTGAAAAACCTTGTTTCAATTGTCCTTTATTGCAAGATCATAGAACTAATTACAAACTTAACCTATAACTTGGTAGTATTTAGTCAGGTAATAAGTTTTATTAAAAACAAATTGCTTATTCAAAAGTGATCACAGAACAACTCAAGATGCAGAGTAATGATGAGAAACATCGGACTGGCCAATAGATTTAATTCTCACTAAATGAAACCCCAAGCTTTTCTTTTTTAGTAAAAGTAAACTGTAATTTCAGTAGACAGCAATATGGGAAGTTTTTGTCACATAGACTAGCTTCCATTTAGTCAACTGTTTCTGCCTGTCTCAATTGGGATAGATACATTTACATAATGGGCTGTGCTTGAGCCTTCTTTGCAAGCAGCTTTAGATCTGCAATGCACTTGGCAATTGTCTCCTTTTCCTGCGATAAGGAAAGAAATCTGGTTAGACTTTTATATAATACTGAAGGATATATATACACCATAATTCTAAAGGCTACCTCCTACCAGGCCAGAACCTCAAGATGATTACTGGCTTAACATGGCTTAATATGTAAGACTACTAGATACCTTTGGAAGAAAAATTAATTGTTTAATAGAGAGAGATGGAATTACTTTAAAAGCAAATCCAGGGAGTTAAAATTCCCTGGCTCATAGCTTTTGTGGGTGAAATCTATAAAGAATTTGAAGCCAGTACTTCTATAACCATCTGTTCTTGCTGTTGGCTTATTTAGCTAATAGATCCTTGAAAAAAGATTAATCCAACAAAGATTAGTAATATAGAAATATTAAGAATGAACATAATTGTTAGTTTCTTTTCCATAATTTGTGGAATTTTCTAAGTTACCTAAATACATATATATTACTTTTATGTAAACAGTTTATTTTAT